GCAGACTTGAGGACCGAATGAAATGGGAGAAAGTCAAAAACAGACATCACAGGCTTTATTTCAAGATGTTTGCCTTGGAAATGGCAGAGAGACAGACTGTCCCGGAGGATGCAGAGCTGTGACTCTTCAGTCATCAGTGCTGGGCTATGGGGCTCATGAGACATTTACTAGTCTCTCTGAGTCTCCGTCTTTTCATTTATAAACTGAGGATGATAAACACCTTCCTGAAACGGTTGTTGTGAACATGAAATGAGATCTGGCACGTGGGAGGGTTCAGTAAACAGTGGATATTACTGTTGCCAGAACAAGAAGGGAAAAGATGACCTCGCACAAGAGGGAAAATAAGAGAGAAGAGACTCAGGATGGAAAGCAGCGCCTGGGGCTACAACCCCCCCTCAGTCCCCACCCCCTCTGGCCCACCTGAGCTCCACCCCCGATGGCCCCGGCTCCACAGGGACTCAGCAGGGCAGCCGGGCGATGGTGGGCAGGATCACGGCTCTTCTCTGGCTCCTTCTGTCCTCAGGTGCATGTGCAGCGGCCAGTGAGCCAGGCAGGGAGGAGGACAGGAGGCAGCATGTAAAGGGGAGAGCTTTTGTCACCAAGGGAACTGCGTGGTCCTTCTGAAAAGTCAGGATGGATGTGCTTGTTTTGTGTAAGTACCAGTTTTCTGTCTTAGCAATTCACATGTCACGTCCAGTGGTGACGGTAAAGTTTTGTTGTTGCCTGTGTGTGTTATCTTTATGGTTCATTATTAGGGATCATAGATTTTTATGTATTCAATGATTTACATCAATTGTAGTCATTTTTCTAATGCTCAATTTGTCCCAAATGAGAATCCTTTCAAGCCAGATGCTCTTTTCTCCTGACGGGACTGTCAGTCTTTGAAACTTCCTTGTCTTCTAAACCACGCTGGCCCTGTCTTTCCCTGACCCAGACCTGAAGTCAGTCCTTGTCCAGGAAGCCCCGTCTCCCTCCGGGGACAGTGGGGTTTGGACGCTGCAGTCGGGAGCGCTGGGACGCTCACTGCTGCTGAGGCAGCACTGGTTCCGGGCTCTCCGTTTGCTGGGGCTGGGATTTATAGATATAGAGTAAATTATTAGTTAGAATCCACTTTTGTTATAATTCAGCTTCTTTATTCTTCCTTTTTAAACATTGAAGATCTTGGTTCCTAATTACATTACATCAGTAATTACTGATTTGCTCTATCCTGTAATATACACAACATAGTTTCAAAATAATATACAGCATTATGGTTAACAAAGACTATTAAAACTATTGAGTGATACTTGATATTTTGGGGTATTTTTTACCCTTACAATATATTCCACTAAAATATACAGTATTGTTTTCTAATTACTTTAAGTTTTTAATTAATTACTTTAACATTTTCTCTGTGTGTTTCACTTGCTTCTGTTTGTTTTAAATTTTACAATTTGTTTGGTTTTTATTGAAATTGTACAGCATTTATATGTTTCGAAAGTCAGTGTTGCTCAGCCTGACAGAGTGTCATGCTGATGTGCCAGAGTTGACAGTTTGATCCCCAGTCAGGGCACAGACAAGAATCAGCCAATGAATGCATCAGGAAGTGGGACAACAAACTGAGGTTTCTCTCTCTGTCTTTCTCTCTTTCAAATCAGTAAATAAAATTTTTAAAAAACTCAATGCTCAGCATTGCTTCAAACCCATTGCATCTAATCTATCCTCCTTTTCCCTGATTTTTATCAGTTTCTGGTTGATTGATCCAGTGTGGCTTTTTGCAAATGTTTATTTCCCTCTTTCCTACCCCAAAGGTAGCACATATTTGATACTTTTCTTTGCATCCTCCATATTCCACTACATCATAGACATCCCTCCCCATCATTTCAAAGTGACATCCCTCCCCCTGGCAGGTGTGGCTTGGCTGGTTGGAGCACTGACCTGTACACCCACAGGCTGCAGGTTCGATTCCTGTTCAGGGCACATGCCTAGGCTATGGGTTTGATCCCTGGTCGGGGCACATACAGTAAGTAACCAATCAATATTTCTCCCTGACATCAGTGTTCCCCTTTCTCCGTCTCCCTTCCCCTCTCCCTGAAAGCCATGAAAAACTGTCCTTGGGTGAGGATAAAAGACAGCAAACAAAGCAAACAAAAGAGACCTTCATCATTCTTTCTATCAGCGGTACGTTACCCCACTGTGTGGATGCACCACCGCTTCCCAACTACCCCGCTCCCCCTGAGTGCACTCTGACCTTTGCAGTTACAAACACGGCGTGTCCGTCTTAAACAGCGGATGGCTGTTTAGTCATGACTCCTTACATGTGTTCAGCATTTCCTTACACATGTTAAAATATATTTTAGAAGAAAAATATCATTTATGTTGATTTATTTTTAATTAACATTCTTCAGGACACTTGAGTTTCCTGAAACAATCCAGGAAACTGTGCACTTCACGGTGAACGTGCGGACCAGGAAACCTGACAGAAGTGAGGTGGTTAGACCAGTGCTGGGCACCTGGGACGTGCTCAGTAAGTGACAGATGATAGTGACACAAGTAACAACAGCAGACATTGTATTGTTTATTTTTCTCTATCTGGACATGTCATTAGAAATTTGGGAGCTGAATGGACACATTTGGCTCTTTAGTCAGTTCCCTGTTTCAACATTTGTTGAGTAACCACTGTGTCCCAGGTGTTATGATCAGAACTTGCACTTGGGGCCGAGTCACAGACTGACGGCCTGAAGGAGGCCTTTAGGGGTGAAGGGCACCTGGGAATCCAGCCACATCCCAGGAGTGGGGCTGAGGCTCTAGGGAGGAGGCAGCAGAAAGCTCCAGGGTCAGAAGTGCTGAAGAACCCTCCCCTTGGGAGACTGGGGCTTGCTCAGACTGGGAGCCTCTGCAGCAGGGGAATCCACCACAGGAGGGAGCCGGGTTACAGGTAGTGCTCCCTGAGGGGAGGTGATGGCTCCCCCAAAGGTGTGGTCACTTCCCGAAGGCTTTCCAGGGGTTAAAGAAGTAAAGGAAGCATCATCCAGAGCTTGTCCAAACCACAGACTCCCTGTCCCGCCTCCTCCCTCCCCAAGAGCTGGTTCAGTGGATCTGGGTGAAGCCTGCACTTTTTAAAGGGCCCCCAAGTGATTCTTTCATGTTCACTGTGATTGGAAAACTACTTCTGTATGCCACTCCTTTGGTCCTTGACCTAAACTAGTTTGTATGGTTATTTTTCTCTGTGTGTGTGTTATGTATTTTTTTATTTTATCACAGTAAACCAATGTCTTCTAGGCCACATATTTAGAAGACATTCAAGTCGATCTCTCTTAAAAAGACCTCTCCCCCTTTTTTTTCAATCCACACCAGAGGACAATTTTACATTGCTTTTTAAAAAAAATTTATATTCTTTACTTTTTTTTAAGATAGAGAAAACATCAATGAGGACCCACAACTTATACATGTACCCTGAGAAGGAATTGAACACCCAGCCTTTTGGCTGTGGTAGGATGTTCCAACAAACTGAGTCACAGTGGTCAGAGCTATCCCTCCGCTCTCACTAGACACCTGAAGATGTACTCTGCTGCCCTCTTAACTGATGCAACTGACCCCAGGTTGAGGAAGTCAGTCATCCTGTTCAATCCTCAGGACACTCTTTGTCATGCACATGACTCTAGGGACTGTGGAAAAAGATGACGCTGTAGATCATGGCTAGACACCACTGGCCTCTTCACTACAGAGAAAGTCTGGACAAGAATGGGATTCTCATGAACCTTCCTCACCCTGTGCCCAACAGACCTGGTGTTGGTTGCAGGTAGTTGCAACAAACAGACCACTCTGCATCCCGTTCAGGGAAAATCTCAAATCAGGAGGCAAATTCCTTGAAGTCCCTGGGAGCAGCCCATTCACAGTAACACACAATGGGCCCTGAATCAATGAGTTTAATGAAACCGGGCCAGTCTGACATTAACTGCCAATCAAATGACCAGGTGGTCATGCTCGGTGACCATCACCCAGAATCCCCTCATCCAAGTCCCAGCATCCCTCACACCTGGGGGAACTGGCCATGGACTGGTGAGAGGATCCAGTGCGAACATCACTAATAAATTTATTGCTGCCAGCCAGAGCTTTGGGTAGAGCAACAAAGTGTGTATGTGTGTGTGTGTGTGTGTATGTGTGTTTATGTGCATGTGTGTATGCCTGTGTGGCTATGTGTGTATGTGTCTCTATGCATGTGCATGTGTGTGTTTGAGGAGAGCAGGGTTGCTAGTTGGTGCCCCACAAGTCCTGCCGTGAGTACTGGGGACAGAAAGGAGGAGACCTAGGGGGCAGAGGTTGATCCCATTCCCAGGTCAGCACAGGGGGACGTGCTAGGACTGTGGCAGGGAGCACACAAGGGCTGCCAGCAACTTTGAGGAATCGTGAGAATCTCCCACAATCCATTTCTCTCAGAAGGGTCATTTCCTATGGAAGAAAAAACCACATGACCAAGGCTGGTCAGGCTCACAATTCTAGAATACTGTCTCTGACTGCCACCTCCCCAAAACCTCACCCCTCACCTCTGCTCTTCTGTTCCCTGTCCTCTCTTTGTCCCCACTGCCCTTCCCAGACCCCATTCCTCCCCACAGCATTTCTGATTCCCCACCCTCATTCCATTCAGCCTCTTCCATTTCCCCCCCAGACCCAGGGCTCTGCAGCTGGGGGCACTGGGCAAGCACGTGCCTGTGACAATGAGGACAGTCCCTGTGAGGACACCCACCAGGCTGATGGCCAGACCCAGGGCACAGACCAGGGTCTCTGAAGTGTCTGGCAGTGGTATGGGCACCTGGGGCTCTGGGAGAGAAAGGAAGGTGCAGTGCAAGGATTTTAGGGTAAAGGAGACAGGAACTGAGAGGAGTGGGCTAGGGGGAGGCTCAACACCCTGGTACTGGAGGAGCAGTCATCCTGGCCCCAGTGCCCCCCTGACAGTCACAGACATCATCCACTGAGGGCAGGAAGGTCAGGTATTAGAAGTTGGGGAGCAAGTGCTCAGGATGGAAGAAGAAGCTGCTGTGGGCCACCCCGTCGGTGAGTGTTGGACCATTGCACAGCCAGGTGGTGTTGATCACAAGGGGAAGATGTTGTCCATGATGCAGATGAGGACATTGGGCTGGCCCAGCTGCACATGATACTCGTGGAATATGGTCTCCCTTAGAGGCACCAGGAGAAATGAGGCCCTGAATCCCAAAGGATCATCCCTGCAGCTGGGCCTTATAAGGACTGGGTTTGAGGGACATTTCCTCCTATGTAGCCATCTGTGGGCAGGCATCCCCTGGAACAGGAGCAGGGTGGGGGCAGAGGGACGAGAGACTGAGGAGGGCAGTGGGGGCACCAGCGTGTGGATAAATGGGGAGGAACAACTGGGGAGCAAGACAGATCATGCAATCCAGAGTTCCAATCAGGTAAATAAAGCCTCAAAACCTCTGACTCAAAAAACTGTGGGGATTCTGGGGGTGGAGAAACTCTCAGCCTCACAGGAGAGTTCATTGAAGAAACCCACAGCGTCCTAGGATGTACAGAAACCCATCCACCCAGGAATCAGAACCAGAAGGGCCCAATTTGCTTGTGGGTAGTACAGAAAGTGACTGAAAGCCAGCAAAGAGCTGAGCAAGCGGCATTTTTCACCCTGGGACCCCTCCCCCACATACAGCACCAGAATACAGTGACTTGGTTTGCCACCCCTCCCCCTCCCGTGAATACCTAAGGCTCCACCTCTTACTATGTAACAGGCTCATTTTGAGAAAAAAAAAAGTCCCAAATGAAAGAATAGATCAAAGCTCCAGAAAAAAATATAACTAAATGACAAAGAGATAGCCAACCTATCAGATGCACAGTTCAAAACATTGGTAATCAGGATGCTCACAGAAATGGCTGAGTATGGTTGCAAAATAGAGAAAAAGGTGAAGGCTATGAAAAGTGAAATAATGGAAAATGTACAGGGAATCAACAGTGAATGGAAGTAAACAGGGACTCAGATCAATGGTTTGGACCAAAAGGAAGAAATAAACACTCGACCAGAACAGAATGAAGAAACAAGAATTCAAAAAAATGAGGAGAGGCTTAGGAATGTCCAGGAAAACTTTAAATGTTCCAACATCCAAATCATAGGGGTGCCAGAAGGAGAAGAGGAAGAGCAAGAAATTGAAAACTTATTTGAAAAAATAATGAAGGAGAACTTCCTCAATCTGGCAAAGGAAATAGACTTCCAGGAGGTCCAGGAAGCTCAGAAAGTCCCAAAGAACTTGGTCCCAAGGAAGCACACACCAAAGCACATCATAATTACATTACCTGAGATTAAAGAGAAGGAAAGAATCATAAAAGCAGCAAGAGAAAAGGAGACAGTTACCTACAAAGGAGTTCCCATAAGACTATCAGCTCATTTCTCAAGAGAAACCTTTCAGGCAAGAAGAGCCTGGGAAGAAGTATTCAAAGTCATGAAAGGCAAGGACTTACATCCAAGATTGCTCTATCCAGCAAAACTTTCATTTAGAATGGAAGGGCAGGTAAAGCGCTTCCCAGATAAGGTCAAGTTAAAGAAGTTCATCATCACCAAGCCATTATTACATGAAATGTTAATGAGACTTATCCAAGAAAAAGAAGATAAAAAATATGAACAGTAAAATGACAGCAAACTCACAATTATTAACCACACCTAAAACAAAAACAAAAGCAAACTAAACAACAACTAAAACAGGAACAGAACCACAGAAATGGAGATCACATGGAGGGTTATCAACAGGGGAGTGGGGCCACCTGGATTTCTGTTGCGTGGGTTGGGCACTTGAACTACTTATTAATTACTAAGGAAAGACTCACCCCAGAAAGTTAAAGACCATGTAGATATCTACACTGCACATCAGTATAATGGGTTTTCTTTTTCTTTTCACACCACTCCTAGTTCTGTGGATAACTTAATGATAATGTGCCTTACTGTGTTCCTCCTTGGGTTCAGGTTCTTTGGGACTCTCTGGACTTCCTGGAAGTCTATTTCCTTTGCCAGACTGAGGAAGTTCTCCTTCATTATGTTTTCAAATAAGCTTTCAATTTCTTGCTCTTCTGCTTCTCCTTCTGGCATCCTTATGAGTCGGATGTTGGAACGTTCAAAGTTGTCCTGGAGGTTCCTAAGCCTCTCCTCATTTTTTTTTTGAATTCTTGTTTCTTCATTCTGTTCTGGTTGAATGTTTATTTCTTCCTTCTGATACAAACCATTGATTTGAGTCCTGGTTTCCTTTCCTTCACTGTTGCTTCCTTGTATATTTTTCTTCATTTCACTTGTATAGCCTTCACTTTTTCCTCTATTTTGTGATGATACTCAACCATTTCTGTGAGCATCCTGATTACCAGTGTTTTGAACTCTGCATCTGATTGGTTGGTTATCTCTTCATCTCTTAGTTCTATTTTTTGAGGTTTGATCAGTTCTTTCTTTTGGCCTGTATTTCTTTGTCTCAGTGCACCTGTTAGGTTGTAAGGAGCAGAGCCTTAGGGATTAGCCAGAGTGGGCAACCCTCATCACTGTGTTGTGGTGCTGTATGGGAGGGAGGGGTCTGGGAGGAAACAATGCCACTTGCTCAGGTCTTGCCCGCTTTCAGTCACTTCCCCTGCTGCCCACAAGCACAGTGGGCCCTTGGAGTGCTAATTCCTGGGTGGGTGGATTTGTGTTGGTTTTGGGACCCTGTGGGTGTTTCCAAGGAACTCTCCTATGAGGCTGGGAGTTTCTCCTGCTGCCTCAACCCCCACAGCTTTTTTCAGTCAGAGGTTTGAGGCTTTATTTCCCTGCAGTGGAACCCTGGGTTTTGTGGTCTGTCTCCCTCCCCAGCTGTTCCTCCCAGCCTATGTATGCACTAATGTGGGATAGGGCCCTGCCAGCCTGAGGTGGGCGTGCCCAGGGCCACTGGCCAATATGCTGTAATTTAAGAAAGCAATTAAAGTAAACATACAAAGATAGAGGTGTAGGTGGATACACTTTGTCTCCGGGCACAATCAAAAGAAGGACAACAACAAAATAAAAAACAAAACATAAGCAGTACTGCCAGAAAATTGAACTGTACAGACTTCCAACAACCAAGGAGTTAAAGAAGAAGTTTATCCAGACTGGTAGGAGGGGTGGAGACGGGCAGCTGGGGCGGAGAGGACTTGTGGTAAGGCTGTGGCTGGAGGACTGGGGTGGGGGTTCCCATAGCTGCAAGTGGGGATAAACCAGGAGGAAAACTGGAGAGGGAGATACACCGGCCAACCCAGGGCTCCAGTGTTGGAAGCCTCAAAACCTCTGACGGTAAAAACCTGTGAAAGTTGAGGTGGCCTGAGAAACTCCCAGCCTCATAGGAGAGTTCATTGGAGAGACCCACAGGGTCCTAGAACGTACACAAACCCACCCACTCAGGAATCAGAACCAGCACTACTCAATTTGCTTGTGGGTAGTGGAGGAAGTGACTGAAAGCCAGCAGAAAGCAGAACAAGCAGCACTGTTCCCTCTTGGACCACTTCCCCAGATACAGCACCACAGCGCAGCGAACTGGGTTGCCTGCTCTACCCACCTCCAATACCCAAGGCTCTACCCCTTACTATGTAACGGGTGCTGGGAGACAAAAGAATACAGCCAAAATGAAAGAACAGGTCAGAGCTCCAGAAAAATTACAACTAAGCAATGAAGAGATAGCCAACCTACTTTCTACGTTATGTTTATATAATGTTTTTGTTCCTTTAAATAGATTGAAGAAATAAATCCTTGACTCTTCTTTCTCTTAAATCCTCCATTCAGTCCATCAGCAAATCTTTTGGGCTCTACCAGGGTTGACCTGCAAGCCATGATTAATTTATTTTTGTACTTAATAACTGTCTTCAAATTAATTACATATCTTCTTAATAGTGATTTTATCTAAATCATTTCTTGAGGATTTTAGTTTGTTTCTTGAAGAATAAATTTGTGGGCTGAATAAGAAGGCTTTTATTTTATTGAATGGTGATATTTTGCTTCCTTTCAGTAGCTTGTTTGTTTTCTATGTGGAAGACAAAACCGACATTAGTTTGACAGGGTTTATTGTTTCTCAAAGGAATTTTGATGGTTTACTGTCTCAGATCCTCGTGCCTACTCAGTCTTCACATGCTGCTCCCGTGTGCTTTTTCTTCCCTCAGTTAAGAGCAGCATCTTGTAATTTTTATTCAATGCTGTACTTTTTCCATTTTAAAAAAGCTGCTGTGTTCTAACTATTCTAATTGGCATTACTATGATGACTCTTACTCATCATACTTTAGTTTAATTACCAGTAGTGGCTACATGGCTGCTTTGAAGCTTTCCTTTCTTAGAAAAGCCAGTCTGACAGAAGCTCTGAATTGCCACCAGCTCCTCTCCCCCGGCTCCTGGTCACTCACATCTTCTGGTGTATGAGACTCAGCGCCAGGAGCCGGCACACCAGGTGCTCTGGCCTCTCAGTGCATTCAACCACATTCGCATGCAAACAGTGCAGGTGGTGGGCAGTGTTTTCAAATGTGAAATTAAACAAGATCTTCTGGATTCAGATTGTCGGGAGTGCCCTTCCCTCTCACCAGCTTTCCTTCTTAAAATCCCACTGAAGTGAGAGATGGGGAATGATTTTAAAAGAGAGGAAGGAATCCCTGTTAGTGCTGGAAAACAGGGAGACTACATGGGGTGGATCTGAAATTATGAATAATTTCTGGAATATGTAAAGTGGATGAAATTGGACTGATGGAAACTAGAGTCAGGACACACAACCCAAAACAGGAGGAGAGAAGACCTCCAGAGAGGTACACACAGTTCTTTTTGGCAAGCTTGGACAGAACTCCAAGCTCACACTCAGCCGGTACAGGGGAGCCAAAGAGGACTATGGGGCGATCATCAGGGTTGTTATAAAGCAATATGGAACAGCTGGGCCAGTAAACCTCTAGTGCGGTAGTTCTCAGCTTGGGCTGAATTTAGAACTATCTGGGGAGGTTTTAAAGCCCTGATGCCTTATGAGACCACTCTCCACCCAGCTGCCCAACATAGCCCCTCCTACCAGTCTGGATGCAAGTGTCTATTTTAACTCCTTGATTGTCCAACTTCCATGCAGTTCAATTTTCTATCAGATCTGGTTGTTATCTTATTTCTAAATTGACCTTATTTTTGGTTGTGCGAGGAGGCACAGTGTGTCTACTTCTGCCTCCATCTTGGCTGGAAGTCCCTGCTTTCTTAATTATGTCTTCATTATCATTTGACTCGAAGTTTTCTTTTTCTGCTCGCTTCACTTATCTTTCCCAACATGTTTATGAGTAGCCAGTCTTTTCCTAATGTGATGGGATATCAAATGTGAAGAGAACTTCTGAAATTATTTCCATAATTTAATTCCTATCCAGTGCCTGCAGCAAGCTCACACCAGGCTAGGAAACGGACGCATGGGCAGGGGCCCTCTGCAGGCTCTGGACTTCCTGTCTGACCACACACTCAGCCTCCATCATCGAAACCCGCAGTGCGTGTGCTGACAGTGTCCTCCCCCACTGAGTGCCTCTCCTTTGGGGAGGGAGGTGCTTCTGACAATGAACCTCAGACAAAAAATTATCAATGAAGGTGTGGGCTACTAAGATAATTAATCTCAATACTTGAGGAACTCCAAGTACATGGGCTGAAATTCACTTTCCTCACTCAGCAAATCTTTTGTTAGAAAAGATTTTATTTATTTATTTATTTTTAGAAGGAGGGGAAGGAAGGGAGAAAGTGAGGGAGAGAAACATCTATTGGTTGCTTTCTCATAGGCACCCCAAATAAGAACTTAACCTGCAACCCAGGTATGTGCCCTGACTGGGAATTGAACCAATGAGCTTTCACTTTGTGGAATGGTGCCCAATCAACTGAGCCACACCAGTCAGTGCTCAGCAAATCTTTTTTCATGAAAAGTATCATCACATTAATATAAATTAAATTTCTTGTGCAGATTTAAAGATATTTAAGGCAAACTTTGCAGAATTTTCAACTCCTTTAGAAATATCAGCATTTCAGTGTGCAAGTTAATTGAGTTTTATTTTATCTAGAGCATTCCAAAAGTGAGAACAGAATCATCAGCATTTATGAGTGTGGGACAGAGAGCAAACTTCCTGTATGCCGGCTCCACCCTGACAGGCCTTTTCTAGTTTGGCCGAGCTTCTCAGACGCCATCCTTGTCTGCAGCGGGAACAAGTCAGGATGGTACTCACCCCCGTGAGTTAAAAGGCACACGTGTCCGTGAGCCACTGTGGTCCCTAGTGTCTGTGCGACTGCTGTTCACTTGTCAGGGTCTCATTTCTCAGGCCCAGAGGCGTTACCTTTGGAACTGGGTTTGGCCTGTGTTGAGAGTTACATTACTGGGTCATTGGGTCATAGACTTTTAGAGCTTCCCAGGACCTTTGGGATCATGTAGTTCAAAAATAGAATAAGTTGGGATTGAATTGGTATTTGGAAAATAATTTTCTCATGGAATGAGTATAACAACAAATAACTTTTACTTAGCAAATAATTTTTGCTTAGTCAAAAGCAAGCTATCGATCTGAAGTAGAGCAACCAGTTCAAAACTCTGAAGCATTTTATTGTTGATGTGTTATAACTCAAACTCGTATTTCTTATTGAGTCAAAGACTTATCAGCTAAGGAATGAAGAACCCTTACTATAAACATGGTTCAGAGTTTCAGAGAATTGTTCATCCTAGAAAAAAAGTCTAGTCCATCAAGGAAAAAATATGTGTGTGCATTTTCCTTATTTTGTATTGAAAAGCAGAAAAGCCCCTTATTTAACGTGAAATGACCCTGGAAAGGAGCTGAGGGCGTTGGAGTGGAGCAGGGAACTGGGCCCCAAGCAGCTGGTCTCTCCCTCACATTTCAGACGCGGAGGTGGAGTAACTCGGTGTGTGACCTCGTCGTAGACTGTGGGTTCTGTCTCACTTGACACTTATTTCCCCACTGAGGGGTGGAGCTCTGTTAGTTGTTGATGGTGTTGCCTTTGGGTTTTCTGTTTTTATTCAATATCTTTTTGAGTGAGATTAAGACCCTCAAAAAAATTAAGAGCTTCAGAATACAGTTAACCTTGTACATCATTCCGGAAATGGGCATTCGGTTGTTTTTCATGGGAACATCTGAAGCCAGGGTGCAGTTCTCAGTGTTGAAGCAGTTACATACTTGGGATTAAATCTGTACCATTTTGATAATGATCTGTTAAATCATCTAGTAGTTCTTGATCCTGTGAGGATACCCCTGCCACATAGTGGGTTTTAATTAAACCTGCGTTTCCACTTTGTTTTATTTTCCACTGAACTATCTCCTTGATACAGTTATCAGTAGTTGGAAGTTTAAAGTGGAAATGGGTAGAAACATTGTTGCTCTTCAGTTTTCAGACCAGGCAGACTGAGCTTGGACAAGAAGTGCATTTATGGCTCTAGATGGAACGAGAAAGGGGAAACTCTCATTTACCCCTTCCCTCGGTCTGCCCGCCCTGAGGAGCAGCCGGGTGACTGTCCTGTCTCCTCTCCCCCAGTCCACCTGGAAGGCTGCTGTGGGGAAAGGACGTTTGATTGCAGAGACGTGGCCTTCATCATTGGCAAAGGAGAAGACCACGACGTTCCCATCGGAACTGACAAAGCCCTGGAGAAGATGCAGCGGGGAGAACACTGTGTACTGTTCCTCAGATCACGGTGAGCAGCGCGTCGTCCAGTGAGGTTGTCTGAAGCACAGGGATGTGTTTGCTTTTTCAGTCAACATTTTATGTTTTTAGTGAAGTTAATGCTATGAGTAGAAACAATTAATTAAATCAAGCTGTAATGATGGAGTGACGTATTGGACCTCAAATAACAAAGGGATGTGAACGTGTTGACAGTATGTGGCTGTGTGTAACGTGTACCCACATTTTTGTGTGCACCACACAAGGGATTGTTATACCCATGGTGCATAGCCATTATACACAGCAAAATGTGGTGCTCTATTGATTACGGTTAAGGAAAGGACCGACAAGCTAGTTTTGCTTTTTTTTTTGTTTATTTGTTTTGCCTGCCATGTTCCCAAGGAGGGAATTTATTAGCACTTCTCACATGATCCTCTGGCCCCTCTTCCCTTTCCTCTAAATTAGGCAGAGGTTGGAAGCAGAAGAAACATTTGGATGATTTATTACCACTTGAATTTGTGTCCCCTGTTCTTATACAGAGTCCCTGAAAGAAAAACAGCTGCCCTGGCTGGTGTGGCTCAGTGGATTGAGCGCAGGCCTGTGGACCAAAGAGTCACTGGGTTGATTCCCAGTCAGGGCACATGCCTGGGTTGCAGGCCAGGTCCCCAGTAAGGGATGCATGAGAGGCAACCACCCACTGATGTTCCTCTCCGTCTCTTTCTCCCTCCCTTCACTTCTCTCTAAAAAAATAAATAAATGAAATCTTAAGGAAAATAACAACAACTGTTCTTCCTGGATGGAAAGGCAATGGAGATGATTCAATTTGACCTAAATTTTTCCCATTATAAGGATGCCCATCAGCCTTTCCAAGCTTAGAACTAACAGACACTAACACTTTCTCTTGTGAAAACATGTGTGGTATTGTTTTCAGGTCTGAAATTGTGCCATGAATCCCACCCTTTGAGAAATGGACCCTTGAGTGAAACCAGGGGGTTATATTTTCTTTGCCTGTAAGTGCATCTCCTTGTGTCACGTCTTCTCCCTCTCTGGCTCCCAGGGTTTGGGTGAGGAGGGTTTGGAGGAATGAAGAATCTTGCTAAACCCCACTCAGCAATAGGTTCTAGTGTGCCTCTCGCACAGTCGCTTGCCTTCGTGTGGCCTCAGCAGTCACCAGTGGCACGTTCACCTTTGCCTTGCCACTCGGGCCAGGGCCCTCTTTCTGGAGTGGTGCTTTATGCCGCCACGCACTTGAACATCCTCCCAGAATGCCCTGCACCATGAACCTGTTGGAGCCTTCGCTGGGCGCCCCTTGTCTTTAACACCTTCTTCCTCTCTGTCATACTGCTTTCTGCACCACGGGATTCCCGCCTCGGTGTGCTCTGCCCACCTTTCCTCTCTCTCCGTAGTTCAGTGTCAGGTGAACCTATTTCTCTCTCTAAGGGACTTTTTGAAAATGGAGAGATGCATAGAGATGACTTTCTCCTCCATAACTGAATAATATCCAGGGACTTGTAATCTGGCATTCCAAAACTACACTAGTTGTAGATTTATATAGAGAGTGTGGTATTTATGTCCAGTGTGTGTTTTCAGAGTTAAGTTCCTTGAGGGTAAGGTCTGGATGCACTGTGAACATGTGATGTTACAGGAATCATTTGTTACGTTGTGACCTAGCTCACAGGGCACTGGTGGGGCAGATCTCTCAGGTGTAAGGACAGAGAGAAGCAAATTATCCTTATGGTTATCAATGCAAACAGTTCCTCCCAAGTTTAAATGGTTTGTTGTGTCCTCAGTGCTTCACCCCTGTTAGTGAGCCCTGTGCACTTCTGCAAGTCACTTAACTGCCCTCAGGCTGAGCTGCCCCTCCTGTAGAATGAGGATAATAGTATCTTCCTCATAAAGGTTTGGAGAACTAAACGAGATAATTATGTGAAGAACTTAGCAAAGTGCCAGACACATGGCAACCCCTCAGTATATTAGCTGTTTTGCTCCTGTGATGTCTTTCCATTTCACCCTCAGACCACAAGAGAAAGGAAACCCGACTATAACTGTGGTGATTTTTTTCAGTTCAAGACATAAAAATAGTCAACTACTTTTCATAAATTTTTAGGTATAAAAGTATTTCATATGGTGTGTTTTTATCGTGATTTTTTCATCATGAAAAAGGAACTTGTTATTTTCTCTTTGAGACGTTGGTCAGTGTGCCGAGTTACGGGAAGGACCTGCTCTGCGATAGGAGACCGTTCCCACGTGCGCTGCGAGCCCGTACCCGAGCGTGCAGGGTCCCCACACCGGGTGCGGGGTGCGGTGCTCCTGCTTGCAGTGACTGTCCTCAGACCCCCACTGGCCAGGCTGCCCTGCACCTGAGCTCTGTGAACGTGGCTGTTGCTCACCTGCGCTCAGTGTCATTTCGTGTCACCGCGGTTTCCTTCCCCAGAGGGGTCCAGGGCGCACCTTCTCCTCCATTCTGAGGGACTGCGTGGCAGGATGTTTTCCTCAGCAGGACGATATGTTTTATTTTGTTTTAAACGCTGGGATTGATTCATCTTTTTCATTTTAGTTCAAGTATGGTTAGTTTTTACTTTTCCTTTTTCCGAATTGTTTGTGTCCTTCACCAACCCCGAACAAAAACACAGGCCGCGGGGAGCCACAGTGTCTCCCTGTGGGGCAGCCTGGGTCACCAGGGACCCTGTGCTCTGGGGACTCACCCCGGCTCCACAGCGCCCCCTTGTGTGGCTCTCAGGAAGCACTTCTCTCTGAGCCCGGGTTCTTTTGTCCATGAAAAAGGGAGCAGTTGGTAAGGACTTAGGGTACAAGTGGCTGTGTGCACGCAGAGGCTGATGGTCACTAGTGGTCATCTTTGGGTCTCTACTGTCTGCAGGCCGCTGTTAATTGAAGAACATCAATACCGTACACGTTGTTTTATTTACTCTATTATCAACTGAACTTTTAAAACTGCCCTTAAAGACTTCAATCAATCCCTATTTGTATGTCTATCTTCTTGTACCTGTGTGTGTGTGTGTGGAAGTGATACGTGCAAAAGTACATCAATAAGTGCTTGACTGTAACTGTTGTGTGAACAAGACACGAAAGGAGTAAAATGAGAATCTGGGTCTTTAACAAAACACATCGCGGACGCTCCCACGGGCTCCGTGTTACGTGCGCCCGGAGACTCTGCCGGTCCCGGTTCCCTCGTTGTTCTGTCCCACGGGGGCGCCCCTGCGCCTGCAGCTTCTTGAGACTAAAGTTTTACCATCTCTAGCCAGGAGGAGTTTATTCCCTGACTTCAAAGAAATGTATTTTCATTGACTTTTGATCCAAGATTATGATATTCATTATTTATTTTTATTTATTTGGAATTTATTCAAGTTTGTTTTGTGGCCTTTAAGAAAATCATCAAAAGGCAGTAAGATAGTGTGGATTTTTTCAATTTACCCAAAGGAGTAAATTTTTTCCAGTTTTATTGAAAAACACCTGGCACACGGCACGGTAGGAGTTTAAGGCACGCGGCACGAGGCTCTGGACCACACACCGTGCGGGATGGGTCCGGCTCACACCCGTCTTCTCGGTTTGTCACTCGGGGGCGTCCTAGAGTTCCGTTGGCGGCTGTGTCTGCGAGTCAGACCCGTGTCTGTGCGGGGCCTTCCCGCCCGGGCTGCTGCAGCGGACTGACCTCACCCAGCTCTCAGTGCCGCAGGGAGGGCGGGCTCGATGCCCCTCCCCAGAGGGGCGTGTCCCCGTGCCTCTCCACAGGCTGTCTTCACGTGACCCCAGGAGAGACTGCACAACAAGACCCTCCTTCAGTCTCCTTTAATCCCGTTGTTAATAAACACCGATGGCACGCTGGTGCCTCCCTTGAACACACCACCACACGTCCCACCACAGCCGTGAGACCACCGCTTGTGAGTGCCTCGAAGATAGCTCCTCTCGCCCCAGCACTGGTGACGCCTTGGGCTGCGTGTTCTTGGCTGGGGGGACTGTCATGTGCATTGTAGGATGTTGAGCCGGGTCCTGGGCCTGTACCCACTAGATGTTGGCAGCACGTCCCTGGTTGTGACAAACCAGTCCTTAGACATTGCTGAAGGCCCTTGCGTCCCTGGGGGTTAAACTCCCCCCATCGAGTCCCACTGGTCTGAGGCCCGTGCTGGATCAGCTGTTGAGGGCAGGGCCACTGACCCGTGGGGCTCAGTGGACCCAGTTGTATACCAGTCAGTCCTGATAGGACGTGCCGTCAGTCACCACACGCTCAGCAGGACTCTCCCACCAACCTAGTGCCCAGCAGGTAAGGAAGGTTCCTCATTCACCAGGTGGCAGAACCAGAAGAGCAGATACATAGGTCTGGGAGCTCAAGTAGAAAACTAGTCACTACCTCCTAAAAGTGGCCACTGGTAGCTATGTCCTCTCATTTCTTTGGGGGAGACCCCCTCTGCCCTGCCGATGTGGCTGCCATTCCCCACCCCTGCAGCTCCCTTTGCCTTGGTCTGGCCCCAGCTGCCGTGTTCGTGTGCAGCAGTGGAGGGGAGTGAGAAAGCATTTCCTTCCTGAACAATCCAGGCCGGGGGCAAAGGAAGCAGTGCAAGCAGCAAGATCTGTGTATTCCCACTCCGACCCTTTTGCCACAGAGAAAGTTCATTGGCATCAACCTGGTTTGGCATCTTGGAAGCCATAGGCATGAAAGTTTGGGTTTACTGAGTTTTTTGCATCGTCCTTCCACATGTTCAAGCGTTGTCTGGCTTGAAACAGATGAGAACAGAATGAATCCCAGTGATTGCTTCCCTAACACGCTGGGCTTTCTTCTAAGTGCTGGGCAACCTCCGACTCAGACAGATGTAGCTCCGCCAGAACTTCCAGTCTGGTAGACGTGTGCTCACTGCCTGGGGTCATTAAAGATTCTGCGTGATCCGAAGGAACACGTTTACATGTCTGCAGTGATTTTATTCCGTCAGTGTGGGCTACAAGGTGTGAGCGCCGCACCTGTACCGTGTGAGAGCCGCAGAGCCGTGAGAGTGTGTCTCCGGGTGAGGTGGTAGAGCTTGCTAGGGCCGCTCCTTTTGGTTATACATTTGTTATGTCTTTTGTATTTTCCAGTGTGCTTTTTAAAAGTATTGAAAAAATTCTGTGAAAATGTGTTTTTTTCCCTGTTGTGTGAGCCTTTTCTCCCATTCATCTAACTGGAAGTGGTACTATTAGAAGGAGACAGCACTTGAGAGTTGAAAGCTTATTAAAACACACCTCTGCCATGACCTGGCTGGTGTGGCTCAGTTGATTGAGCACCAGCCCATGAACCAAAGGGTCGCCGGTTTGATTCCCAGTCAGGGTACTTGCCTGGGTTGTAGGCCAGGTCTCCAGTAGGGGGCGCATGAGAGGCAACCACACATTGATGTTTCTCTCCTCTCTTTCTTCTGCCCTTCCCCTGTGTCTAAAAATAAATGAAGTATTAAAAAATTTTTAAAAACCCCACACCTTTACCAAATAGCAATAGTACCATACTGACGACAGTGCTGTCTGCTCTGTCTTCCTGCTGCTAAAGCTTCAGGGAAGGGTCCTAATAGCCAGATAATGGCTGTGTTATCAAAAGACAGAATAAAGGGCAGTGACACTTAAGATCAGTGGAGCATGCTGCCCCCTGGAGCACAGGTGCTGCATCACATGTGGATCTGAAGGAGAAGAGAAAACTCAGTCTAGTCTGGCTTCTCATAAACCGCCACAGATAGCTCTGAGCTAATGTGATTCCACAGAGCACCGAAGGACATGCCTGGAAATACACCACTTGTTTCAAAGTTTTATTTTTCTATTCTCCATTTCAGGTATGGTTTTGGAGAGTCAGGGAAGCCTACATTTGGCATTGAACCAAATGCTGAGCTTATGTATGAAGTTACATTGAAGAGCTTTGAAAAGGTGAGAAAATACAACCTCTCTGAAATCATGGTGGGTTTCTTCCCCGTCCACTTCTAGGAATTATTCAATATGTTATGAAGCAGAGCATGTGGGTGGCATTTATTTGCATGTCATTCTCCTGTGTCGTCGCTGATGCTCCTGGAGTGGGGACCACGGATGCAGCACGGCTGACGCACCGCCAAGGCGCTCAACGCTCTCACTCTGTCCCTGTGGGTCCACCTCCTTTTCTGAGGGTGGGGAGAACCCAAGACTTGTCCCCTTGTTTGTTCCCAGACTTGTTCTTTTTGTACTTTTCCCCTCAGTTGAAGACAGAAAGGTTCATGTTCTGCCAAGCAGATCCTGGGGTGAGGGGTGCAAGTTTCCAGGCCAAACGGGTCGCACCCTCTCAGGAGTGATGAAGAGGCCTTCGCTGTGGCTACAAGTTATTGTCCAAAAAGGCCAGGCTTCACGGGCCACCAGCTTTGTGACACGGAACACGGAACACGAGAGACACACCTGCTGACCAAGGGCCTTTTCTTTTCATACCTGTCCCAGTAGGAGAACACGAGAGTTTGCCAGTTGCCTTGAGTTCCAGAAACGGCACCCCTGTGTGACTGTGTCTCCATCTCAGACCTGCCTCTGGAAGCTCCCAGCGGCACCCCCACTGGATAGACAGAAAGCACGGGCCTGAGCGAGGCATTCTGTCTTGTCCAGCTAAGTCCCCTGTGGGTCAGCACCAAAGCCCTTCCTTCCCCAAGAGCCTCAGGAACTGCATTTTGTTTGCCTGTCTTATCCCCACAGCGCCCCCTACAGGTCCTGCATGTTAAACTTTGGACTGGAATGGGACTGTTTATATTTTATTAGATTCAGAAAAGAAACCATTGTCATGCAGGCCTGTAAGTTTGGGCTGAGAAAGGCAGGGGGTGCGGCTTTGGGAGCTTCCTGCCACACCCCTCCCACTTCACATTCCCCGCAACAAGCACGCTGTCTGCGTGACCATCACTGGTTGTCACGTCACCTCTTCTGACAGCTGCTGGCTCCACCCTGACCCTCCACAGCTGCGTCCCAGCACAGTGTTGTTGGAGAGAGAGAGAAGAATCATTAGCTCACGGGTATTTGGACCTTTGACTTTCCTGTTCTCGTAATGAAGTCACTCCCTGCCCCTCCCACCGTGGCCCGGCGGGCACTGCCCCCGTGGCACCTCTCACTGGCGTTGCCCCTGTCACTGCACCAGCGGTTTGTCTGTTCCCTGTGACACCGCTGGCTTTGTCTGAACCCATGTGAGGCTGTGTGATCTTGGAGGCAACTTGATTTAATTTTCTGCCTCATTTTAAGAATATTTTTATACTCCATAAAGCCTGAACCTAATATTAAAGAGCAAAGGACCCTTATTACTAGATTTTCAAATAATAGAGCTAATTTGATGTGAGGCAGCATGGGGTTGCCGGAAAGCCTAGTAACTGTGTTATTATTCACCTTAAAGGAACACACCACTCTATCTTTAGACTAGAGAGAATTTCATAGTTACTCACTTCAGCTTCCTAATTCCTGTGCAGTAAATAGCTCTGACATAGCCTCATCATTTTCCTTAAAGGGCCCCAGATTGGTCTGTGGACTCTGGGATCCTTCTAAATCCAGCAGTTCACATTGAAAGCACAGTTGTCTCTGGACTGGTGTCTTTAATGGGGGAGAATAATAACACAGATACCACAGTGTAGCAGATGATCATGGAATCATGTATGTATGCTTTGAAATGATATGTTTGCATTAGCTTCACCCTCCCAGTTATGTTTGACTTGAACTCCCCCAAGTGTCCATCTGCAGGTTGATACAACTTGGAGGCTTTATTATGTCTGGTTGCATCAGAGTGGAAGGGACAACTGCATGACCTGGAACTTTAAAAATTCTCTTGAATCCACAGCTGTGGCGTGCCTACTTTGGCGTTCCCCTGTCAGAGCTGGAAAACGGAGGCTTGAGAGAAACCCCAGTTCCCGTTGTCCTGGCAGTTCAGGGGAGAAGTCACGGGAGGGAAGAGGGAGGCAGCTTTCATCGCGTGGCCTCCCCTCTTAACTCCAGAGACGCACCGTTCAGCCGTCTCCAGGGGTTCGTGTCACTCACTGCATTTTTGGGGGCTCCCCCTCCCGAGCCTCGGGGTCCAGCTGCAGCTTTGTCCGTGGACAGCGAGCTCTAGCCCGTTGACGCCGTGGCGACGGCACACTTTCACAAGCCAGTGTGTCCGAGGGCTGGGCGTCGTCACAGGGGCCACTGTGTGTTCTCTTGGGTATCGGCTGACACTTTTCCCTCCTCTGTTCACCTCACTGTTGTCACAAATTTACACAACAGGCCAAAGAATCCTGGGAGATGGACACCAAAGAAAAACTGGAGCGGGCTGCCATCGTCAAAGAGAAGGGGACTGTGTACTTCAAGGTACGTGCGTCCTGGTGCAGCCCTTTCCAGCTCAAAGAGTTTACTCAGGTGTCAGAGAACTGTGCTGATATTCCCTATTCTGAGTTTTATCAACCCCCTTCTGGGCAGGAAGAAGCCGGACTCTGTACAAGTCTGTCATTTCCATGCCCTGGCCAGCAGCTCAGCTGGTTAGAATGCCGTCCTGACAGCCAAGGCTGTGGGTTCGCTTTCCAGTCAGGGCACGTGCCAATGACGCATCAATAGTGGAACGACAAATCGATGTTTCTCTCTCTCAAATCAATTTTTAAAGTCTGTCATTTACAGTATAAGAAGTAGTGAGAAAGGGATGAATTAACATGACAAAAGAATAGAAATGATCTTCTACAATGTCTGTTCTAGACTGCAGCCCTCCCTAAAGGCAGACCAGGTCTGGCTTGCCCAGCCGCCAGGGGTCCCTCAAAGTCTGGAGCATCTTGCTTTGGTGCACAGTTGGCCCTCAGTCAGTGTTTGTGGGATGCAGCAAGAGAATCTAGAATAATTATGAGCAGTAAAGGGATTCAGAGCATGAGTTTTTACCTTGTTTTACTTTGCACTGTCTTGTGAAGTCACTAAGGCACATGACAAAGGACAGGGAACATGCAGGGATTTCCAAAGAAACCGACCGGAGGTCAGGATGATTAATGTCTCTGAAGCCACCGTGGTCCCTGCCACCCCTGCTTTTGTGAGCGATCTTCAGAAATTCCCCAGTGACCTCCGTCATCGACTGCTTCTCGAAAACCCTTGCTTGTCACATCTAGTGCCGTGTGATTTCCTCAGTTACATGTGAGACCCCCAGAGAGAAGGGAAAAAGAAAAAGACACAGCACTTTGTTCACTTCTGACCCAGGTGCTGCCCTCAGTGCTGCCCCGCCCCAGATGCGCACCTCTCCGTGGCGAGGGAAGGCTCAGTGCGGAGGGGAGGCAGAGAGAGAAGGGGGTGTTGTGAAGGCTCCTTCCTGTTTCTGTTTTTCCGGCCACCACCGTCCACAGACAGAAGCTCAGTGATACTGTCCGCAGTCTCACGCAGCGATGCACAGATGCGCTTCACCAGGCCTCACGGAGCGCGGGCTGCGAGACACGCCGCTGCGCCAGCACCCTGGTCTGCAGGGAGCAGCAGTGACGGTCAGCCAGGGGACACACTAGACAGTTCCGTGAGACTGCGAGGTCACACAGTTAGTGTGGCCAGGGAGCGATGGGTGTGGTTGTTGCTTCAACTTCAAGCAGCGACTGATTATTGGTCATGAAACAGTTCAGTGGCAGTGAATACTTTATGCAGTAAGGATAAATTTTGTTTCATGAATCTTTTGTTCACTTGTTGTGAATGGGTACTGGGTCATCATTTCAAACAGTTTTTACTGTGGATTTTGGTTAAACAAATTTGAAATCTCCTGGCTTACATAATTATTTGTATTTATTTCTAACTACTTATTTTATATGCTAAAATAGTGCACAGCTCACCACAAGGAGTGTGGGGGATGAGCTCTGAGTTGGAAGCTGGGAAAACTGGGCATTATGGCTCTAAGTGATATAAAGTCATTGAAGGTCTAAAAACGTTATATTTTCAAGTGCAAAGTTGAGGGAGTTAGATTATATGATCTCCAAGTTTCTTCCCAACCCTAAAATCCTGTCAATTTTTAGTCTTGAGAGCAAGTTTGATTTTTAATTGACTGATTGATTTGCTTGTTATTTCAGTTTGTTCATTAGATTCCACACAGGAGTGAAATCATAGGGTGCTTGTCTTTCTCTGACTGACTCATTTCACTTAGCATAAAGTTCTCCAGGTCCAACCATGCTGTCACAAACGGTAACGTTTTCTTCTGCTTCACAGTTGAACAGTATTCCATTGTGCGAATATGCACCACAGCTGTTTTACCCACTCGTCTGCCCATGGACACTGGGCCTGCTTCCAAATCCTGGTGATTGTAAATAACGCTGCAATGAACACAGGGCTGCATATACTCTTTGGAATTGGTGTTTCAGATTACTTCGGATAAATTCCTGGAAGTGGAATTGCAAGTTTGGTGTTTTAAAAATTCAAATCATGTATATTGGGTACTTCTAAACCTTTCAAGTCAGATACCAAATGGGCTCTTCATAGACCCCAAATACACAGGACACTGGAATAAAAAGAAAATTTTCTTTAAAAACTTTTTCAGTACAGGTCCTGAATGGTGTTTCGTATATACCTGAAATCCTTTAAAGCCTTTAAATGTATTTTTAAAATATTTCCCACGACTTCAAAATAGAATATTAACAGTTTGGGGGTGGCAGGTTGAAGCTCTTGGCATTTACTAGGATTATATCAACTCAATGTAGTAAAACAGCTTGACAATTTAGAAACTCTTATTGGTTATTGATGACTGAACTTTAGGGAATACTATTGATAATGAAATAATGTTGTAAAGCCACATGCCATATAGCTCTGAATATATAAAGAAAGCTCCTAAATGTATACAGAAAATGGCCAGAATTCGTGACCAGTAGCAGAAAGCATTGCTATACAATTACTTCAACTTTGTTGCTTCTAAGCATCCCAACTGCAGTAGTGATTTGTGTATTTCACATTATGAACCCTCCTAAAATGACTGATCTTTGAATAAAATCTGGATTAACAGTCACATAGATGGAACACATTATTTTTAACATGTAATTTGATAGAGAAAATCTTTCAAAACACAAGTCCATTGGGGGAAAATTAATGAAAAGTTCAAAACCACTGACCTAAGACCCTTCTCCCAGAATGTGTCTGAACAGTCTGTAGGACAACCCAGTTCCCCAGACGCACCCGCACAGCTGCAGGTAACAGGCCCCAGCAGTGGTCCTGGCGTTAGCTGTGAGGCTTCAGAGTAGTGGGGGAACGGTTTCCTGTGTGCATTCCCGTTTCAGATTCCAGGCAGGTTTCTGTCTGCCACACTGGCCTCCTGGGCCTCATCTTTCTGGGGGGTTGACTTGGAGCCCCGCACTCCTGCAGCGTGCAGACTGTGGGTGACGGCAGATGCAGAGAAATAACAGTGACATTTCTGTCCTCAGTGCGTGGGAGCTCTGTTTTCATTGACCTGTCGGTTTGGTTTACCCTTCAGTGGGTAAATCTCTCCCCTGAATAGGGCTGAATCGTGGTCAGCTTTTTAAATGGGAACGACTTTGCTGTTTAGATGGGAATGTCCTCAGATGAGCCTCTGAACACTGAAGAGAAGAAGGTAGGACAGGACTCTCTTCACTTGGCTCTAAAAATAATTCAGCCTGGATAACAACATGGCATTGTGCCAGGCGTTGTGCGAGCTGTGCAACAGACGTGATTTTTACTTCCTCCCCTAGCTGACTGGGTTCCCCAGAACAGGAGCTTTCAGTGACTGTCACACCTGCTGAGTGTTTCTCTTTTCCAGTGTGGAGGCTCAGTGGCAGTGTGAGGACACTGCAGTGAGGTGGGGGTTCTGGCGCCCCCCTTGTGCTCTGTGGGGGAAACATCATGTCCAAAGCCAGCAGGTGAAGGATCATCTTTCAACCACTGCACCCTCTACAGACAGCCAGGCTTAACTCTGTCTTGACCACCCCTGCTGAACCAAGAAACCAGTCATTTATGACTCTAGAATTTTAGTTTGAAAACACCTCGTAAGAGTCAACCCTGCCTTTTTTTCTCCTTCCTACATTCTTTCAGTGAGATTTCCCAACCCTCAGCACTGCTGACGTTTGGGGCTGTGTGATTCTGCATTGGGGGGAGGCTGTTGTGTGCACTGTGGGGGACACAGATGCCACCAGTGCAGGCACGCCCTCCAGTTGTGACAACTGAGAAGCATCTCTACACATTGAAAATGTCCCAGGGGCCAAAATCACCCAAGTTGAAGACTCCTGTGTTAGCAAATCTGAAGCAGAAATACCACAAAACAAACATCTTTGCTCATTGGAAGCTGAGATCTAAGTAAAAGTATGTGTGATCGTGCTGTGTGGAAGGGCTTTCAAGTGCTCCGTCAATGTAAAGGAACTACTGTGAAGTCTGCTACTTGTTTTTCTTTTTAGAAACTGTAGCCTCTGCCACTCTGATGATTCAGAACCTGCAGGAGCTGTTCGGTCCTCTCCCTGTCCCTTCCCCGGAAGGGGGCACTCGGGGGGGGGGACGCAGCTCTGCCCCTGTTCAGGCCCAGTCGCTGCCCCTGACACTGGCTGCCCCGTCTTCACCACCACGCGCGCCAGGGCTTCCTCCCCCCGGGGGCGCTGCTGTCCAACACTGCCCCCTGAGCCCGTCAGAGCAGGGAACGTTCTCGTGGACTCTGTGATGTTTCTCTTCTGAGCCACGGAGCCGCCACTCTGCACAGAGCTGTGTGTGCCGTGCTGACGGTGGTGAATCCTGGTGATGTTGTCCGGACACCGGTCGCTGGTCACCTTGGGTTTGACGTCCTGATGGGTCTGACCACGGTCCGCCGTCTGGGAGCACCTGTCACCTGTTTTCAAGCTTTTCCGTCAGCTGTCTTTCATTCACCCTGAAACTTCAGGAAACCCACTGTCTCAGTTCCGTGGTTCCTTGTGTCGAGCATGTGTGTGACTCACATACGTGAGCTAATCATGCGTTGTCACTCACGATATGTTCAAATCCTACCAATCAGGGGAGAGAGTGAAAACATGACTAAAGGAAAGATTTCTTTCACCTGTCACCTCTGGAATTTGTGTTTCATAGTTATTTTTGTTGGATGCTGCTTTTTCAACTGAGTATATTCCTGTTGTTGTCGGTCAGCAAACTGTAGCCTGTTTTTATAAGTAAGGTTCTCTTGGGATGCAGACCCCCGTTTATTTACACGTTGTCTGGGCCACTTGTACCCACTGTGCAGGGCTGACGGTCAGGAGCACAGGGAAAGGTGACTTCCCCTTTACATAAACTGGTGACATCGTCTGAAACTACTCACTAACCTTTCGAAGGTCTGAGAGATGGATAATAGCACCTGAGAAGATAACCCCAAAGCCTGCTGCCCTCCCTTGCAGAGCACTGCCCCCTCGGAAAGAGGGGGTGTGAGTGTTGGGAACACCTGTGCGCGGCTGTCCTGAAGCTGCTCTCGGGTCCCCAGGACCTCGGGAGGATGGGGAAGTGCCTGGGTAGCCGGCCCCTAGGACCGAAAAGAAATGATCAGACCCCAGGTTTCGTGTGAGGAAGGTTTCCGTTTTCAGGATTTGGTTCTCAGGGAGGCCTGAGCCCACCCTTCTCTTGTACCCCGCACCCCCCTCCAGCCTGCACAGAGAGTGATTACCAGCTTTTTTCTCCTAGGGAGGCAGGTACGTGCAGGCGGTGATTCAGTACGGGAAGATAGTGACCTGGTTGGATATGGAATACGGCTTATCGGAAAAGGAGTCCAAAGCTTCCGAATCCTTTCTGCTGGCTGCCTTCCTGAACCTGGCCATGTGCTACCTGAAGCTCCAAGAATACATCAAAGCCGTGGAGTGCTGCGACAAGGTGGGGTCAGCGTGGGGGTGGCTTCCCACACTCCACACCCTCCCTCCATCCTCACCCCTGGGCTGCTGTGCCTTCTTCTCAGGCAAGGAATAGAGGGTTTTTTATTTGGCTTTATGTATTTATGTTTGGGAGTATTTCTTCCTCAGTATGAACTGGAAATTCAGAAAGGTTTTAATTAAAGACTTTCCTGATGCCTAGACTGTACTTAAAATAAAAGGTCTGAGAAGATGAAACAAATGTTACCCATGACCTTCCTTAAATCTATGGCACTTCCAGCTCCTCAGGTTCAATTCAGTAAAATCAGGTTTGACTCAAGCCTTTCGGGACTTCCTGTGACGCCCGGCAGCTGCTCAGGTGGAGGCCGTGTGGAGAAGTCACTTTCCCTGACACCACGTTTGCTCACTGGGCAGGAACACACGGGGATAATCTGAGGGACCCACTGAGTGTCCGCGGCCCTCTCCCTGTTCACACCTGTGTGGTTGCTGCTGCTCCTGGTCTTTGAGGGCGCGGCTGTGCGGGGCCAGTGTCCGTCTGCAGCGTGTCCGATGTCCCTGTGCACCGGCGCAGCTGCCTGTCCCGTCAGGTGTCTGGTCTCCGAGTGAGCGTGTGTGCTGTGCTGTGGGTGCGGCTGACGGTGGAGTGTGTCTTCAGGGAAACAGAAAGGGATCTGAAAAACAAGCCACTATTTCACATATTGTTTGTAGGATCATTTTTGAATTCTGGTATTTTTAATTTTGTGGATCAGTACGTTTCCTATCATGTCTCACTAAATTTTTGCCTAAGGAAGAAATATTACTGTTACATTGTTTAAGCTGTTTGCTTCTTCATTTGTATTGTAGCAGTATAAAGTCATTCAACTTCACACACTGCAGAAACACACAGGAACTCGAGGGTCCTCTGTGAAATCCCCCCCGACCGTCTTTCCAGGACCCGCCGTTCGTCTCACACTCGTTCCCTCTGTGTTTCCCACGCAGAGCAGCAGATGTGTGTGCTTGTCAAACGTGAGGGTATACAGCTTTGAGGACATCTTCCTGCCTCTGACCAGTCTATCGTGTAACTCTCCCTCATCCTTTTAAATCTCATTCAGTATCTACCGTGTGCATCTGTGGTTTATCCAGCCAGACCCCTTTGGTGGATTTCCGGGTGTTTGGTGTTACAAATCCTGTAGCGTCTCCCTGTGCTGACTCGTGGGGTTGTTTCTACCGGTCAGATCGGTAGCAGTGGGAATACTGGGTGAAAAGACCTGATTTTAACACATTAACATTTTCAACTTTAATATGCTATATGTGATCATTGGATATTATCAGTGTTTCTTTCCTAATATCATTGGCAACAATCAATTTTATTTTTATTTCTTCTTGCACATCTCTTCATTGTTTGCCATTTGCACTTCGGTGAATTTCCTGTTCACAGTCTGAACTGCACTGTCCGTTTCCGACTGACTGAGACGGCCTGTACGTCATCGCTGTCACCCCGCTGTCTGACAGTCAGGGGTGCTGGGCCTCTTCTCGTTTGTGTTTAACATGGTCGATAGCATCGTTTTTTGTGAGGAAAGTTTTGCTGTTTACACAGTCAAATCTGCCTTCTCCTTTCTAGTTAGAAGTCTTCCCTACACTAAAAATGTAAAACTAACCCCATTCGGTACTTGCAAAACCTACTCCAACTAGGTTTATTTTTTGAAAAAAAATAATTTTAAAATAAGGCTACTCTATTTTTAGGGAGGGTTGCATGTCAAATACACTTAGTTTAGAACTTATTTTTGGGTTTCTGATGAGGTAAGAATTAACTCTTATTTTCCGTCATGGGTAGCTGCTGTCTGGGGCCCCGTTTGCTGTGAAGCTGATCCGCTCTCTGAGGACCTGCCTCTGAGCGCTGTGTTCTGTCCCACGGGCCGTTTGCCCACGGACTGGTGACCAGACTGGTTCAGTGTCCGTGGTTTAGTCCTGTATCTTTTTCTCCAGTAAGGCACGTCCCTCTTATTATTTTTCTTTTTCCAAAATTTTCCTAGGCATTCTTGGGCATTTACTCCTTCCGTGAAACTTTAAAACGTACTTCTCAGGATCCCCCCTCCAGACCCCTTTGTGATCTTAGAGAAATGGTATTAAATACACAAATTAGTTTCGGTAGTGCATTGTATTTCGATTAGTAGTGCAGAATAACCTTGAGCCCATCTTTCAGTATGCTTTTTCTACAAATTAGTGAGTTATTGGCCAGAAAGCTTTAGTGAGTTATGTGAAATACTGAGTGTCTTTAAAATGCCCCCTAGTCACACTCATTCTCTCTAAAACTGAACCGTCCGTTCTAGGCCCTGGGACTGGACCGCACCAACGAGAAGGGCTTGTACCGCAGGGGCGAGGCCCGTCTGCTCATGAACGAGTTCACGCTGGCCCGAGGGCGACTTCGAGAGGGTGCTGGAGGTCAACCCCCAGAACAAGGCCGCGAGGCTGCAGATCTCCGTGTGCCGGAAAAGGCGAAGGAGCACAACGAGCGGGACCGCAAGACCCTACGCCAACATGTTCGCGAAGTTCGCAGAGCGGGGACGCCAAGGTGTGTGCAGACCCGGTCCCTGCAGAACCCCGGGAGCATGGAGCAGGGGGCGCAGTGCAGTCTGGCCTGAGGCTGGATCAGTCCGGGGTGGAATGGGCTCTTCCTCCCACCAGGGCAGGAAGTAGCGCACTGACCTGTCCGTGCAGGACCTGAGGGACGCTAATTCCCTAGAAATTAAACAAATCAAGCACATCAGGTTTCTTTTAAATAACACCTCCAGGTTGAAGACCTCTGATTTTCCCAGCAGCTGGGCTCGGGAGGAGGAGGGGGTGGGCAAGGGTCCTGCCCTCCCCCTGGAGGTTCCTGGCAGGGGGGACAGAGGTCAGCCTCCCCTGCCACAGAGTTGTATCCTGAGCTCATCCTCCACTCCCCACACTCCCCACCCTCTTTTGTCACATGGACTTGATTATTAAATGGTGGCAAGCTAGTCATTTAACCAAAGAAAAGTAAACTCTCCCCCCTTTAAACCATGGGCAGCACAGCCCTGCCTGACCCAATCAGGAAACCGGAACGAAAGTCCTTGCACTGCCCTCTCGTGTCAGACTCGACAGACAGTGGGTGGGGCCAGGAATTACTCGAATATTTCCCTTATTTCTTCCTCAGGAAGAGGCCAGTAAAGCAATGGGCAAGAAGACGTTAGTAGGGGTCGCCGATCAAAAAGACACAGGAAGTCCAGCAGAGGAAGAAGGGCGATCTGGAGACCACGTATGACCCCACGCAAAGGAGGGAAGAGTCCCAGTGAACTCAGCCTGCTCCCCGGGCTTTCCCCAACTCAGGACTGACCGTGTTCGGTGTGCAGTTTGTCACAGTCTGTGTGATTCTGGAAGCAAATGGCAAAACCAGTGGTCCCCACAAAACCACCCCTGCTGCTGCCCAGGGCTGTCACTGAGGGGAGGCGTGGGACCCCTGTGGGGACACAGACAGGTGGCCGTTGGTGTGGAGAGGTGCAGCCGGCAGCGGAAGTCCAGCTCATTTCAGTTCAGGTCAGCTTCCCCCCCTGCAGTGCAGGGTCCCCGGATGGTCCTGACCATCAGGGCTGTCTGTGAGGTGTCACCTGGGATGGAATGTCAGTAGCACTTCAGAAACCTGAAAATGAATGTCCACTGAATTTCTCCTTTCCTGCAGACGGGTGGGGAAAGGAGGGTGGAGGTCTGTGTTTTCAATCACTGAAGTGCTGTGACTGTGACTGTTGTGTTTTAACCAACAGAATCCACAGTGGAGCGGCCTGCTGGCCCCTCAGGTCCACAGCAGCATCACAGACTTGGCACCAAGAACCTCACAGGCCACTTGCTTACAGACTTAGCCCCGCCCCCTTCCTTAGTGAGCCCACCCCCCCCCCTCTGAGCTGGCTTTCTGCCACACCTGCCTGTCCCTGAGGAGGAATTCTGTCCTTCCTAAAGCTCTCTTCAGCAACGACAGGGAGCAGAGTGGGTGTCTGGATTCGTTTTCTGTGTTTTGGGTGAAGTTCTGAGAGGCCGAAGTGTGTAAAGAGCAATCAGAATCGTGCATTTTCCTTCGTCCGCTCCTTTTAGGAAACGATGTGACCGCAGTCCCACCTGTCAGCCCCGCTGCTACTCAGTACCTGGTCTCCACGCCAGCCCCTGCTGTTAGGAATGTCCAACTTGCTCTTGTACCGTCTCTGACCGGGAGTGGATGTGTTTACACATCCACATAGAACCCGTGCAGCTTTTTTTGTTGTCTTTTAATACTTACTGGCTCATAAACATTTGTATGTACCCTGGTTTATGGAACTTACTTACAATCCTCTCTTTTAAAAAAAACCCGTCTTGACTTCTTACTATTAAGTAGCTGAATTTTTAAAAACAAACTCTGGGGTTGGAAAAATCAGTGGTCGCTCTCCCGCGTTAAGGTGTTCCTCACAGACTGACACGCAGCGGCTTCCTTTTCCTGCGCCGAGAGCTCCTCTGTGCTGCTGCGGGTGTGACAGAGAAGTGAGGAAGCTTCCCGTGCAGGTGCATCCAGCTCACAGTCTCCAATACTGGGGCACTGAGTTAGGGCGAGTCTCCACATCCGAACATGTCACTGTGTCTTAGTCCTTCCAGGTAAACAAGGTGAGCCTGGCTTTCTGGTCCCACAGACTGAGGAGCACTCCTGGGAATGCTTTTGGCGACCTACAGCACTCACTTCAGCCTGCAGCATCTCACTGCTTTACATCGTAGAGAACACCGGCAATTATATTTTAGATTCCCTTTAATTTTGTGGTGGTTTTAACAAAACACTTTCATTATCGGGTTAGGGCTTATTTTAAAACTAAATGTCATTTCTTTTTCTACCTGGGTTCTTAGCCATGGAACAAATGGAATTGTATTCTGTTTCACCATAATGACATCTAAAATTCTTTTAAATTCCCAGTCATGCTTTTTTCTTTTTCCATGAGATATTTCTTTCAAAAGCCCCAAATCTTCCCTAGGAAATAGGAAAAGCAAGAGTTGATTTGGCTTGTTTGCTCAGCTGTTTAGCATTTGCAGCTCTGTGGGCGAGAGCGTGACCCCAGTGAGCCCGAGACTGAGACTTGATCCTGGAAAGGCCAGCGAGCTCTCTGCAGGTAACACACACAAAGTGTCCAAAACTAGATCAGCCCAGCCACTGTCCCCCAAGTGTGTCTGTGTCACCAGGGGGGAGCAGGCAAGAACGTGGAGGAGACAGAGGAGAAGGGTGCACTGGGTGGGTCCCAAGCAAACACTCAGAAGGGGACCATCGCCGCTTGAGAAAAAGAAACCTCACAAGTTCTTGCAGAAAACCCGGAAATCTTAGTTTGTCTAGAAATTGGCAAGTGTCTTTGAACCGTCTTTTAGATGCTTATGGAGTGGGGTGAGTTCAAACCAAAACAAAAAAAACCATTCAGATGCACTTTTTCTGTGTTCCTTAACTATACAAGTGTGTTTCACATTGTTCTCGGTTTTGCTTAAATAGTCTTCAGGGAAGGTTGTTTGGGTTGGAAAACTATACTCGACCGAGTGACACGAGACAGGAAGTTGGCAAGGACAGCGGGGCCCTGCTGGGTGCTGTGACGTGCACCGTGAGTCCGTCCACACTGGGCTGAACACTGAGAAGGGACGCGTCTGTGTTCCCATGAACCACACGGTCGGGAAACAAGAGACTGTGTGTTTTCAGTAACCAGTGGGTATTTGACCAATTTAAGTGATTATAATGTAGATTCAATTTGGGAAACGAAGAGATTTAATTTGCCCTTTAATAAAAATGTGAAATATAAGTAAGCCTGTGTCAGCTGATGCCCCATGTTAAGCATGCATTTCTTCTTAAGCAGCATGTTTCATTGGAGTCACGCACTCTGAAGGCCTGAGGAGAGGCTGTCACACACCATGAAGGACGCATCACTCACTACAGAAGGGAGGGCAGTGGGGCTGGTGCAGGGGCGCACTTCTCTCCAGAGGTAGCACCGAGGTCTGCAGAGGGCGGATGCAGGCTCCAGGCCTTTCACTCTCTCTGCATTCCTTGCTTCGTCTCTGCATGTGAGGCATACTCCCCCCCTTTGGCTGCTACGTCATTTGATAATGAGATAATTCCCCCTTTTTGCATATTTTTCCTAAGCAAATAATGACTAAGGTGGGCACGTTGAGATGAGCCAGAGCAGCTTCCTGGCTGTGAATCTGTGATCTGGGTAATTGGAGGCAGCCTGCACCTGTCTGGAAAGTAGGAGTGTCATGAAGCACTTTGTTCATCCTGACTTGGTCTCTGCAGCGACACTGAACTCCCCCTCTTAGCGCGATGCATTAGAACACACTCTCTGAGACTGGCGACATGGGTATCAGATTCACTGAGTGTGAGGTGATTAGTCTAAATCCCAAAACTCAGAATCCCCCAGCCTAGCTGTGTGTCATTTCCGTCAATTGGCTCTTTACATGTTTGAATGGCAGTGGCTGACAATGTACAGAAAAGGGACGTTCTCTAATGGTTTGAAAATGTTTTGGGGCCCTGGCTGGCATGGCTCAGTGGATTGAGTGCAGCCTGTGAACCAGGGGGTCGCCAGTTCAATTCCCAGTCAGGGCACATGCCTGGGTTGCAGGCCAGGTCCCTAGTGGGGACCACATGAGAGGCAACCACACATTGATGTTTCTCTCCCTCTCTTTCTCCCTTTCTTCCCCTCTCTCTGAAAAATAAATAAACAAATCTTTAAAAAATGTTTTGGGTGAGCCAGGGCTCCCTTGGAGATTTTTCTCTAATGCACAGCTGACATTTCTTTGGGAGGTACGGAGAGCATATGGAGAATGCCCAACAATTTTGATGCTGCTGTATTTACATAACTAATCTCTCTTTTCTTCCCCTTCTTAACCCTCATCTGAGGATTTGCTTTCTGGTTTGGGAAAGAGAGAAACATGGATGTGAGAAAGAAATATCGATTGGTTGCCTCCCATGCATGCCCAACCAGGAATCGAACCTGCAGCTTAGGCACGTGCCCTGACCGGGAATCAAACCTGCATCCTTTTGCTGAATAGGATGATGCTCCACCTAACTGAGTCACCGGCCAGAGCTGCATAATTTATCTTTTGACTTCTAATTGCACATAATCTATGTGTGACCTTAATAATACATGACAAAAAAGGGACATCACTGAATGTCATCCCAAGAAGCATCCTGTTGGAGCTCACTGCTACCCCTGGATGGGACAGCCAGAGCAGAGCCATAATGCAGGGCTTCCCTGAGGACCTTGGAGATCCAGAAAGGGGAAGGACCAGTGGTAAAGTGGCTGTGCCATGGTTGTCCAGGTCACGTGATGCCCTTACACATTTCCAAAGTAGGCCTTTTTCTAGTCAGAAGCATGAATCTCTTGGCATATGGAATGAGATGTTAGTAGCCCCTCAGAATCCGTAGCGTTTGCTGGCAGTGGAAAGGCAGAGAGCCACAGGCCTCACATCCCACTCTGGAGTGAAGACACTGGGGTTCACCAGTGTGTAACGGATAGGCATGGTTTGCTGTTTAAATCATGCTCCAGGTTGAGATAAGGAACTGCAGTGTTTGGGTTCTTGTTGTTTTCAGATTCCTTTCTCCAGGTATTTGATTCTCGCCTCCCACCACCTTGGGATCTGGTTGGAGAAAGAAAACGCAAAAGGTTTTCCTTTGTTATCTCATTTTTCAGAAACTTAAATATCCATGCTTGGAGGGACCCTGCCTTTTTAAGATGCTTAAGACCAACTAACCAACTCTTCAATGATCTGCCTGGTGTCAACAAGGCTGGGGAAGTATCAGCTGCTGAGAAGAGCATGTAAGAAAAGCTGCCCTGCAGACACGGGCACAAACCGGTCACACTGCTGTTCACTGAGTGCCCACCACGTGCCAGACAGACCCACTGACCTTCCACATATAAGAAGCACGTGGCTGCTGCATTGCTTCCACTTTCCGAATCTCACACACGGTCATGTGGTTCCCACCCAAAGTCATGCAAGGAAGGAATTCCAGGGGCACGTATTTCAGTCTTGGGTTAGTTGACATCCTACGAGAACACCAAGTGTCTAAGCCTTTTTTGAGGTATTCAATATTTTTCACCTGGGTGTGCTTTGCATCAGTGTTTATATAAAATACTTGTTACTGTTGACACCATGACTTGGCTTTAAAGTGACCTCTTTAAGTTTTTGACTAAGGAGATAAGGTGGGAAGAACAAGTAGCTGATGATGATCAGAACTTGGGGGTGCAGTGACTAGTTTCTACTTGCTCGACCAGTGATTTGGTGTCTGCTCACAACCTTGTTCCCACACACAACTCCTGACATTTTCAGTCAAAGATGTAAACCCCCGTGTATGATCCTCCACCCACTGCACCATCTTCATAAAGATGACACCAGCCTGAACGTGTAGTGAGCAGTCGGGTGAACCCCACTGAGCTCCAGGAACTCATTCTTTTCCCTCGTCCCCCATCTCAGCACCGAGTACACCGTCCCAATACAGAATATGCTAGATGCTCAGTGAATTGACTTCCTGCCCTTTCTCATTAAGCAGCCTTGCATCTCTATG